CAAGGACGCCTTGGCGCAGTTCTTCATGGCATTTTCACAGGATGTACAACTTTCCCAAGTGTGGGGTAAGGCTTCACACTGAGCGACCCCATTGACTCTAAAGTGGGCCAAGGAAGAAGGGAGCAGATGTCTGTGTCTCTCAGACATTTCCCCAGGCAGACCTGAGGAGGGGTAGAGGAGTAGAGGGTTGAGGCCATAGGTACTGACTGAATGCTGAGAAGACCAGGCACTAGGGCACAATGTGCTGTTAAAGATGCTCTGACATTGTATGTCTCTGAAGATAAAAAGGAAGCAGAGTAGCTTATGGTTACAATCTATATGGACTTTATTTAATGCTGTATCAAGAAACCACCCAACGGTTCCTTGTCTGAACTCCTGTTTTTCTTAAAGCGTTTTCTTCTTTGCCTTGACTAACCTCAAGTTGGGATTCAGAGAGTGGGAAGATCTAAAGGTGTGATGTTTCTGGTCCTTCTTAGAGGAATTTGGTGTTTCATTTAATCTGAGCATACAAAGCTTAAGCTCATGTGAGGATCTTGTGATTTCTTTTATATAATATTTTGTTTTACCCGATTCACTCTTATTTCCTTGATTTGCTTACACTGTAAATATTATAGGCTTCTAAAATAAAATTTGAGTGAAACACCTCTTATTTATCATGCCTTGAGAAATCAATGTAATAAAATTGCAATGGTAGTTTTGGGACATTTAAATTCAATGGGGATATTTACTAAAGTGTAAACTGTGGTTCCTTGTTTTCTTATTTGTTATCTTTCCCTTCACTTCATTTTTCTTTAATTCCTTGTTTTGCCATTATCATCATTATCTTCTTTTTTTTTTTTTTTTAAGCAGGTTTCTACTTCTGACAATTATTCCTTTTCCTACTTTATTTCTTTCCTCTGTTCACCTTTTGTTACTGTTTTCTATGCATCCCTTTCTTTGTAAATTACTATTTAATTAACTCCCTTTTTCCTGTTCTCATCCTTTCTTCCTTCATTCTATAAATATTAAATGTTTATTATGGGCTAGGATTCTTTACCCTCTAAATCAATAATCCAGTCCCTAGATTTAACTGTGTCATACATACTATCAAAATTATTACTGAGGGCCAGCCCTTAGCCTGGTAGTTAGGGTCACTGGATCCCAGATGGCCAACCCCATGGTTTCAGTCCCAGACGTGGAAGCTTGAGAAACATACCAGGTACATGTGTTCATGACCAAAATCTCAAAAAGAGTAGCAATGGAGAAGGAAGTGTGATTGCAGTGTGACTATTACTATGAGGGCTGCTTTCTTGCCTTTTTTTCCTGTCTCTCCCTGCCTCTCTCCTGCAAGCACCCATGCTTCCTGGCAAATTAAAAAAAAAAGGGGGGGGGAGTAACTACTGATACTTTTAAATTTAAAAAATATTTTTAAAAGTTAATTGATTTAACTAACACATGGTGAAATTCAAATTAGCCAAAAAAAAAAAAACCCTAATAATTTCAGTGACCTCTGACTTTTTAGTATATTAGAAAATTTGCCTCTTTTACAAAAGTCCATGCTCAATCTATTCATATAAGGCAATTCATTCTTTATATTTTTTTTTTCCAAAGATTTAATATTTTAAAAGGGAGTCAGATTTGGGAAAGAAAACTACAGGACAGGAAAAGAGAAATATACAGGTGAGCTCTCCTGCGAATTGATATAGAACGAGAGCAAGGATGGGATGTATAGGACCGTGCAGTAAAGGGTTGATAAGTGGAGTTGTTCATGGGAGTGCTCCTGCAGCAAAGCTGAAGATTTCAAGCTCTGGGGTATAAAATGTAGCCGCAGTCCTCCTTATTTGAACGCAACCCCTTGGTAGGTGACCCAGTTCATGAATTGAATAAAAGAATGACTACTTCATCCATATAGAAAGAAATGAAGCATTTGGTTTCAGGGGTCTCATAACCACTGGCCTCTCTCTATGCAGTCTATCTGAGTCTCAGTGACCTCTCTGTGTAATATTCCTCTAGCGTCTGAGCAGGAGACGCCACTGAGTCCTACAGCATCTTTACCATGTCAGTGTTTTCTATTTCTTGTTTTTTCTTTTCTTTTGTATTTCTCCTTATTTTTTAAAGTTTATTTATATGATCAGAGGCTTTTGATCACTAGTCAGAATTTTTTAAATTTAATTTTATTTATTATTATCATAATCTTGTTTCTATTACATGGAATCACATATAACTTTACAGTGCATTACATTTCTTTTTCCAAAAGGAATACCAGGCATGTCAGTCAATACAAAGACATTAAAATCCCAATCATTATCATTAAATAGCTTTTCATTATTTTTTCCAGATTATTACTATTATTCCAATTATTTTTTTAAACATTCAATCACTATTTATCATCTTACAAGCAACCATTTTGGGTCCAGCCCAGTCAGTCACTTATCTAACTGCAGTGCTGGAAGTCACATGGCTAACTGTGGTTTGGATTGCTGGCCTGGGCCGCCTGAAACATTTTGGGTGTGTGCACACGTGCCCAGGATCCTGATAAGCTAGAGGGCTAGAGGAAGGGGACTGTAGTGTGAGTAGACCCTCCAGAGGGTGCATGAATTTAAAAAAAAAAAAAAAAAGTAAAGACTTTGATATTTTCAATATAATTTTGGTGGATTATCTCTGAATTGTTAAAGAAAAAGGAAGAAGAGTATGGAAGAGAGTTTTTATTTATTTATTTATTTATTTATTTTTTGTGAGAGGTTTTTGCTCTAGGGTACATGCGCTCACCAGACAGACAGAGAGAGACAGAGAGACAGAAAGTGAGAAATCAGCCCCCCCCAGGGGGGATGGCCACACCGCAATCCCTTCTCCTCTATTCTCCTCTCGGGATCTTGGGCACGCACGCACATGTGCCCAGTGTGAGTTTCAAGCCACTGGGTCCGGGACTCGAACCGCTGTCAACTACATGGGAATCCAACGACATAGCTGTTACGCTAACTGCTGTTAGGAAGAGTTTTTAGTAGACAGAGAGAAGGTTTTTGAGGGAACCAAAAAAATTCCTACCTATATAACTCTACTCATGCTTCAAGTCTCAGGCCAAATCCCATCCCTAACAGAAAGCCTATAGTATTTTCTGTTTATTGTGTAAATACTTAACTGTACAATTACTTTGCAGATCAATTGTGTATTGTTCCATAACCTATAGTAAAAGAGCTAATTAAATCTTCGAAGTTTTATTTAGCTTTCTCCAGATAATGTCTTACCTTTTAAATTAGATTTACAATGCCTTGGAGTCAAGGACTAGATCTGATAAATCTAATTTTCTTTTACAATGTCTAGAATGGTTATTGCCAGAGAGATGTTTATTAACTGGGAGAAAGGATGGCAGGTATGGCAGGAAGGTGACAAAAGAAGCAAAGCACATTTGAAGGGGACACAGGAATGTGATACCAAGGATGGAGGAAGGAGAAAACGGTTTTGGTTAATGGGGAATATAAGAAGTATGGAAAGAAATTGTCTTCTGGGGCCAGTAGGTGGCATGGTGGTTAAGGTGCTGGACTCTTACATGGCCTACTGAGTTTTGAGACCTGGGCCTGGTGACTTGCTTTCTCACTTTCCCTCCCTCTGTCTTTCTCTCTGCCCCTTTCTGTTCAAATTAAAATAATTAATAATAACAATAATAATAATAAAATAATTCTAAAAAAAATTTAAAATTAAAAAAAAAGATTTTGTCTTATACTCATGGCAGTCCACTAAAGATGCCTAGATATTCTGATATGTATTTTTGTGTGTGTGTGAATAGTGTTCTTTTAGTATCTCTTTTTAGGTTTATTCATTTTTGAATATTTCCTTTTGAATGAGTTAATTTAAATCAGAGGAAAGAGGACTTTAGTGTTACCAGCACTTTGGTTTGTATAATGAACTATAGATGATCTATACATATTTATATTCCTATAATTACATGTTTTACTTTCTGATATTTTACAATTCAATTTTTTTGAGAGAGATTTTTGCTATAAGGCTCGTGCGCTCACCAGAGAGACAGAGAGAGACAGAGAGACAGAAAGTAAGAAACACTCCGCAGGGGGAATGACCATGCCGCAACCCCCTTCTCCAATTTCCTCTTGAGATCTTGGGCATGCACGCACACATGCTTAGCATGAGTTTCAAGCTGCCGGGTCTGGGACTTGAACTCTGGCCAGCTATGTGGGAGTCCAGCAACATAACCATTACTCCATCAGCTGGTCCGTATTTTATAATTCTTTTTTTTTGTTTTTCTTTTTTTGGAGAGGTTTTTGCTATAGGGCGCATGTGCTCGCCAGACAGACAGAGATAGAAAGTGAGAAATCACCCCCCAGGGGGGATGGCCACGCCGCAATCCCTTCTCCTCCATTCTCCTCTCGGGATCTTGGGCACGCATGCACACATGCCCGGCATGAGTTTAAGCCACCGGGTCCGGGACTCGAACCACGGTTGACTACGTGGGAGTCCAGTGACATAGCCATTACGCTAACTGCTGGTTCCCCTATTTTATAATTCTTAATGATCATGAATATTTTCAAAATTAAAGAGAAACTTATTTCTAAAATTTCAGCAACATTGTTTTGGTCAATTTAATTAATTGCATTTGAAATAATTGAGATACAGTGTTCAAAATTTCAACTGCAGTTAAAGTAACAGTGTGATATGGTACTAGATGGTGGTATAGTGGTGAAATGCCACATTCTGTGAGGTGACCCACAGGGATGGTTGCTGGTTGACATCGTGAGACCTCACTGAATATGCCATGAAGACTCGTGACCATGATCTGGGCTAGCTGGGCCTGCTGCTGGTGCATCATGGTACCAAGACCCTTTTGAGAGTGCCATATCTCTGTTTCTCTTTCTCTATGACTCTCTTGCTCATGGAATAAATAAATAAACCAACTTTTATTTTTTTAAGCAGTAGCGTGATATATGATTATGTTTAAAGGAAAAGGTGGCTTTCCAAATCAGATTCATTGAATTGAATTCAGTTCTTTTGTTTTGTTTCGGTAATAGGACATCTCCAAGTTTGCAGAAAAAGATAATATAGTTCTTGGAGAAGGTGGAGTCACACTGAGTGGAGGTCAACGGGCAAGAATTTCTCTAGCAAGGTGAATATATGATTATTGATCCATCAGCATTTAATATAAATATCATGCATATAAAATTATAGACATTATTTCTTTAGTTCTTGCTTCTGGAATTGAAATAGTGCTTTTGTTTGTTTGTTTTAATTTTTTTTTCTTGCTAGGAGATTAAAATCACCTTTAAGAATGATAGGTATTACAATATAGTTTTCAGATTTTATGGTGCTTCTTCAAAATGCGTACACTTCTGTGGTACGAGTATATGTGTTTGCCTTATGGTGTGGTTTACCACAAACAGAAAACTCCGGAATTCTGTATAGTACAAGGAAGGAGAAGATGTAAATTTCTGTTTATTCCGTCATTCACTTCTTGTTCTTCCCCCTACCCGCCACAAAGCTCACACCCCCTTAAGGCTTCTATTTCTATTTCTTGGTTTAGATTAAGATACATTTTCAACTTTTTTGTCATCATTTCGTTGCCAAAAATAGCAAGGCAAATAATGTCACTTGACTTCAAGTCTATAATCTTCAAATAGGATAGTGTATGTAACACTGTGAGGGGTAGGAGATCCCTTGGTTGAGACATTCTTGGTCCACACATTTAGAAACTGTCAAAGAGAAGCACATACATTTGTGTCAATAAGAAAATATTATAGTTAAAATGAGACTTTCGGTTTAAAAAATGATTGTGATATGGGATATCAAATGTCTTTCAAGTTTTATTTGAACAGGATTCTCACTGGGTTGCCAACGTTGTTAGCAAGAAATTGCTTAACTCTTTGCTGTTTTGGCTCTTTTCCTTTACTTTCTCTTGCATTCAAAAGCTGAGACAGGAAACAGTCAAGTCACTGAGCAGCTGTGATTGCCTAGTGTTCTTCTAGGTCTGTGTGTAAACTCAATCCCCATTCAACCCTGAGAAGGAAGAACTGTTCTTCTCACTTTCCAGAAGAGGAAATGAGAAAAGGAGCCTCCAAGACATTAACTTGCCCAAAACCACACACCGAAATGGTAGAGTCACAGTTTTAACCAAGTCTTCTTGGCCATTTACATTAAACCATACCCTGAGCTTGGAGTTATACTGTGAAAGAATAAATCAATATGGATAATTCACAGATGATAGCTTCTAAGTAATTGGAAGTTGATTAATTTACCTGTGAGCCAATGGAAGACTTACCTTACGTATCTCATTTCAAATTTAAATAAGATACAATATGTGAGTTCTGGGCAGTCAACATAGAATTGGCTTGTATTAGTTTAAACTTTGGTTTTAGTGTCAATCGCACACTGTATGGAGTACTACTAAGAATAATTATCTCTTATTATGATCAGAAGGTGTAATTGTCCGGTTTTAGATGAAAAATCCATGATTTCTAATCTTATAAGAAAATGTGGTCATCGATGTTCGGGAGAGAGAGAAGTGAGAATTGGAAGTGGGGAAGAAAGACTTTGAGGGCACATCTTCATAGGGGCCTCTATAACGCTCTTACATATTATCTTCAAAAATAATTTACACTATTAGAGTTCTTTTAGATTTTACTTTGACTTTCTGTCATTTTTGGTTTTATTTTAATACTTCTCTAAATGATGTGCTGACTGAATAAATTTTTTTAAAAAATAAAAGTACATGGAATCTTATGTAGTTGGGAAAAGATTATTACTAACCGTCATACCTGAAAAATTCAGTTACTCTAAAGAAATTATATCATTTTCATTAGTATGAAAACTTTACCTCCATCTTTTTTTTTTTTTAACAGAGATTTTTGCCACAGGGCATATATACTTGCCAGAGAGACAGAGACAAAGAACAAAAAGCAAGAAATCACCCCTGGGGGCATGGGCACACCACAATGCCTTTTCCTCTATCTCCTCCTAGGATTTTAGGCACACATGCACTCATACATGGCCAGTGTGAGTTTTAACCCACCAGGTCTGAGACTAAAACCACAATCGGCTACAAGGGAGTCCAGCAACATAACCATTACGCCATAGGCTGGTCTCTGTAACTCCATTTTATTACTATTTTATGATCAATTTTATGGAGATCTTAGTTTTTTAAATTATTTTTTATTTAACTTTATTTATTATTATTATTATTTTCCAGTTTTGATTAGAGAGAGACAGAGAGGGAAAGTGAGAAAGCAAGCTACCAGGTCTAGGACTCAATCCGTGATCGGCCATGTGGGCGTATAGTGCCTTTAGCCACCATGCCACCGGCTGGCCCTGAGACTTTAGTTGTTTATAAAATTTCATTTTTGGAGGTCAGCAGGTGACAGTGGTTAAGGTGGTAGACTCCCACATGGCCAATCATGGCTTGAGTCCCAAACCTGCAGCTTGAAAAATCACACTAGGAGCGTGTGCATGCATGCCCTAAATCCTAGGACAATGGAGGTGAAGGGATTTGTGGTGTGGCCATCCCCTTTCTGGGGAGTGATTTCTCACTTTCTCACTCTCTGTCTCTCTGTGTCTCTTTCTGGCAAGTGCAGATACCCTGTGGCAAAAACGTTAAAAACAAATCTATTTTTTAACTTACAATGTAAAATAACAGGGGTTTAAATTTTAATTGTGAGTTATTCATGCTTCCCTTGTTTGGAATGTTTATGAATGTGGTATCCGAGACTGAGAGTATAAGGAACCAAAAGTAGTATCAATTATACAGCTGCAAAGCCCTGCTATTCATTTGTTGATCGCAGCTAACACTGAAAAGCACTTAAAAATAATTTTACATAAGTGCTGCAATTTATTCGCTGTCTGACTTTTTATAGGTTTAAAGTAGTCTATTTCCTTCATTCTTTCCTTACCAAAATGCAAAATTTTTAAGGGCAGAGACAGTGTTATTTTTGCCCTTATATTGCCCACACATAGCATGGTGTTTGGTTCTAAGTAGACACGATTGTTAAGATGGTTTTAATCTCTTCTATCTAAGGTAACATTTAAAGTGTAGGATATGGCACAATATAGCTTGTAACTTCGCTTATACATCACTTATAGTTAGCAAAACCATGTTAGCAGTTCTTAAAGTTATGAAAAGCCATAGAAATCATCCATGACATCTATTTATTCCTCATTTAAAATAGTCTACACTATTGGGACCAGCAGTTAGCGTAATGGCTATGTTGCTAGACTCCTACGTAGTCGACCACGGTTTGCGTCCTGGACCCGGTGGCTTAAAACTCATGCCAGGCGCGTGTGCATGTGTGCCCAAGATCCTGAGAGGAGAATGGAGGAGAAGGGATTGCGGCGTGACCATCCCCCCCTGGCGGTGATTTCTCGCTTTCTGTCTCTCTGTCTCTCTCTGTCTGTCTGGTGAGCACACGCACCCTATAATGAAAACCTCTCAAAAAAAAAAATAGTCTACACTATTAAAGACAAAGGTGTAAAAGGAGTTTTTAATAGTGCTACTTTTGCATATGTTGAAAACTGTTATTTCAGTGAAAGGATGTGGTGACCACACTGTAGTGCATGGAGTAAAACCGTTTTATTTTTATTATTCATTTATTTAATTATCAGTGCTAAATGGCACAAAAATATTACAGAAATCTAATTTCCATTTTTCTCTTTAGAGCAGTATACAAAGATGCTGATTTGTACCTATTGGATTCTCCTTTTGGATATCTAGATGTTTTAACAGAAAAGGAAATATTTGAAAGGTATGTTCTTCAAATAACTTACTATAATGCTCATGATAAAAGATAAAAAATAGCAACTATATTAGAGAGAGACAGAGAGGGAAAGTGAGAAAGCAAGCTACCAGGTCTAGGACTCAATCCGTGATCGGCCATGTGGGCGTATAGTGCCTTTAGCCACCATGCCACCGGCTGGCCCTGAGACTTTAGTTGTTTATAAAATTTCATTTTTGGAGGTCAGCAGGTGACAGTGGTTAAGGTGGTAGACTCCCACATGGCCAATCATGGCTTGAGTCCCAAACCTGCAGCTTGAAAAATCACACTAGGAGCGTGTGCATGCATGCCCTAAATCCTAGGACAATGGAGGTGAAGGGATTTGTGGTGTGGCCATCCCCTTTCTGGGGAGTGATTTCTCACTTTCTCACTCTCTGTCTCTCTGTGTCTCTTTCTGGCAAGTGCAGATACCCTGTGGCAAAAACGTTAAAAACAAATCTATTTTTTAACTTACAATGTAAAATAACAGGGGTTTAAATTTTAATTGTGAGTTATTCATGCTTCCCTTGTTTGGAATGTTTATGAATGTGGTATCCGAGACTGAGAGTATAAGGAACCAAAAGTAGTATCAATTATACAGCTGCAAAGCCCTGCTATTCATTTGTTGATCGCAGCTAACACTGAAAAGCACTTAAAAATAATTTTACATAAGTGCTGCAATTTATTCGCTGTCTGACTTTTTATAGGTTTAAAGTAGTCTATTTCCTTCATTCTTTCCTTACCAAAATGCAAAATTTTTAAGGGCAGAGACAGTGTTATTTTTGCCCTTATATTGCCCACACATAGCATGGTGTTTGGTTCTAAGTAGACACGATTGTTAAGATGGTTTTAATCTCTTCTATCTAAGGTAACATTTAAAGTGTAGGATATGGCACAATATAGCTTGTAACTTCGCTTATACATCACTTATAGTTAGCAAAACCATGTTAGCAGTTCTTAAAGTTATGAAAAGCCATAGAAATCATCCATGACATCTATTTATTCCTCATTTAAAATAGTCTACACTGTTGGGACCAGCAGTTAGCGTAATGGCTATGTTGCTAGACTCCTACGTAGTCGACCACGGTTTGCGTCCTGGACCCGGTGGCTTAAAACTCATGCCAGGCGCGTGTGCATGTGTGCCCAAGATCCTGAGAGGAGAATGGAGGAGAAGGGATTGCGGCGTGACCATCCCCCCCTGGCGGTGATTTCTCGCTTTCTGTCTCTCTGTCTCTCTCTGTCTGTCTGGTGAGCACACGCACCCTATAATGAAAACCTCTCAAAAAAAAAAATAGTCTACACTATTAAAGACAAAGGTGTAAAAGGAGTTTTTAATAGTGCTACTTTTGCATATGTTGAAAACTGTTATTTCAGTGAAAGGATGTGGTGACCACACTGTAGTGCATGGAGTAAAACCGTTTTATTTTTATTATTCATTTATTTAATTATCAGTGCTAAATGGCACAAAAATATTACAGAAATCTAATTTCCATTTTTCTCTTTAGAGCAGTATACAAAGATGCTGATTTGTACCTATTGGATTCTCCTTTTGGATATCTAGATGTTTTAACAGAAAAGGAAATATTTGAAAGGTATGTTCTTCAAATAACTTACTATAATGCTCATGATAAAAGATAAAAAATAGCAACTATATTGTCAGAGGCTGCATATTAACTCTTCAGAAATATATCTACCATGTGTGACTCAACATGCAAAATGTAGCATAATACTAATTCAAAGCTAATCTTTCCTTTATAGTCAAAATTCAATATCACTTTTATCAAAATCTTTTCTGACTACCTCATGCTAAATCAGTTTAGTATAATAATCACTATCTATGTAGTTTTTATGCTGTTACTGCCCATCATACCTTTTATTATTTTAACTGGTTATTATACTTAAAATTTTACTTTGTGTAAAATTTTATTCTACTGTTTCCTTTGGTAGTAAACTTAAAAAAATAAAAACTTTTAAAGAAGAGTTTCTTTCTTTCCTTCGTGAGAGAGAGCAGGAAAGAGACAACCTTGTCAGGGTCTCATCAGAATGTGATTTCCTTCCCCCAGTGAGGATCTTAGGTGCATGCATATCTGGTATGTTTCTGATCAACCTGGGATTCAAGCATGTGACCAGCCATGTGGCTTCCAGCACTGTAGATTATTCGTCACTGCCTGTGTCACTGTGGCTAGGCTTTTTTTATTTTTTATTTATTTATTTTTTTATAGACAGAAACATGCTATGTCATGATCACCTGCTTCAACTTCTCAAGCACCTGAGATTAGAGGCATGCATGACTACTCTTGGCATATAGGGTGGCCTGGAAATAAAATCTAGGCCTCTTATGCAGCTTCAGCCTACCAAGTAGCATCTTTAATCAGTGTACATGACTGTGGTTCATTACTGTTACTGTGGTCATTAAACAGTAAAATTTCCTAAGAAACTACACATGCTGAGTTTTAGATTACTCATCTACCTCAGTAACTCTTTGGAGACCTCTTCCTTTGTGAGTTCAGTATTACATTTCCTTGGAATTCCCGTTAGGGCTTTTATGTATGGAAGTTCCTGGGAAAAACAGTTGGTTATATGACTTGATTTCATGGTCTATAAAGTAGTTTATAAGAAGAGAAGTCATTATATTGTTCTAGAAATAAAGATTTTAAGCAATAAGGATGTTTATGTATCTGTATATAAAATGGCTACATTATTTGTAGAAGTAATTTTTCTAGAGTTTAAATTTAATAACCAAGATACCATTTTTACAACCCTGCAATGTGGTAACTTCTTTATCAATATATATTTTATTTTATTTATATTGTCATGTTATGGGCTGGTTTTTGTGGATCCTATATGCCTGACTGCATAGTTCAAATCCAGCGCCAGGATTTGAAAAGCACACCAGACACATATGCATGTGTACTCAAAGTCCCAACAGGATGGAAAAGTGGAGGAGAGGCATGCTGGTACCCTGTTAGGGTGTGCTTTCTCCTTCTCACTCTCTGTCTCTCTTTAGTGAGCACATGCGCCCTCTGGCATAACTAAACAAACAAACAAACAAATAAATAAATTGTCATGTTAGTATGTAAGAGTATAATCTAGAATGATGGCTTTTTCTATGTGATACATAATGCCTAAATGAGACTACTGATCTACCTTGGGTGGTTCTAGTCAGTATTTATCTCCAGATTGGAAGAAAATTAGGAGGTTTAGTTAAATTTAATTCTCAGATTTTTAAAAAACAAATCAGATTGGTTTTAATATAAGCTGTTGAAAGCTATATTAGCGGCCAACCTAAAATGTAAAAGGAAATTAGTAAGAAAGTTAAAGAACAAGAAAGCTCAGACATTTTTGAAGATATGTGAGAATATAGCCCTTTAGGGACTTTAAAGATCATCCAACAATTCTCTAATTTTCTAGATGAATAAACCAAGAGAGAGAGGGATTATGATTTGTTCAAAATCGAACACCTATTTATTATCAGAACAGTAATTCCACTCTAGGTCTGTTAACATTCAACTTTACAATATGGCATGCTGTATCATGCTATAATAATTCAAGAGACACCAGATTAATTACTATAGAGTATTTACTTTTAGAACCATTTTAAGTAAAGTAATAAAATTATATAAATAGATGTTATGCAATAAAATACTAATACAACTGCTAAAATGAAATATATATTATTTTGCTAAAGCATTTATTAAATTGATATTTATATCTTTTATATTCTTAAAGCTGTGTCTGTAAATTGATGGCTAACAAAACTAGGATATTGGTCACTTCCAAAATGGAACATTTAAAGAAAGCTGACAAAATACTAATTTTACATGAAGGTAGTAGTTATTTTTATGGGACATTTTCTGAACTCCAAAATCTACGGCCTGACTTTAGCTCAAAGCTCATGGGATTTGATTCTTACGACCAGTTTACTGCAGAAAGAAGAAATTCAATCCTAACTGAGACCTTAAGGCGTTTCTCCTTAGAAGGGGATAATGCTGTCCCTTGGAATGAGACAAAAAAACAATCTTTTAAACAAACTGGAGAGTTTGGGGAGAAAAGGAAGAACTCTATTCTCAATTCAATCAACTCTATGAGAAAGTTTTCAGTTGCACAAAAGACTCCATTACAAATGAATGGCATTGAAGAAGATTTTGATGAACCTTTAGAGAGAAGACTGTCCTTAATTCCAGATTCTGAGCAGGGAGAAGCAATCCTGCCTCGAAGCAATGTGATCAATGCTGCCCCCACATTTCAGGGATGTAGGAGGCAGTCTGTCCTCAACTTGATGACACAGTCAGTTAACCAAAGTCAAAGCGTTCACCGAAAGGCCACAGGACCCACAAGAAAAATGTCACTGGCCCCTCAGGCAAACTTAACTGAAATGGATATATATTCAAGACGGCTATCTCAAGAAAGTGGCTTGGATATAAGTGAAGAAATTAACGAAGAAGATTTAAAGGTATGTATAAATTATTAGTCATCCCCTTCCCCAACAGAATGCAACTAAGTAGAATATGTCGATGGAAAAACTAGACTCTAAAATATTGAAGGAAATTTATTATAAGCTGTATAATATAAGTGACCACAGTCTGGAAAAACATAACCTCAAAAAGTCTTGAGAAAGTGCTTCCAATTTGACCAGGACACAGCAGATCTTTCATACATTTCAGGAAAGTAGAAGTTACAATCAAAGTTGTAAATCAATACATGGAGGTTACCCATTGGTTTGGCCCAAGAAAGTGGGATACCTTGAAGTGAAGAAGGGGTGGTGGAGCTTACAGATCACAGGTAGATTTAGAGATTTATTAGTTTGTTATTGACTAAAAGAACATAGCTTTTTTAAAAACTTGGAGTCAGTAGCAAGGAAGAAAGGAAGGTTTAAACTCAACCTTAACATAGATAAGGAAGTTTACTAATTATGTGATGCTATGCCAGAGTCAAGGTATGAGAAATAAGACACAATTACTGAGGCAAGGTGACCTATTCAGTAAGATTGATAGCCATGTAGGTGTGGACTTCCCCAGGTTGCTTAGGGAAGAAATTTTAGAACAAAGAAAAAGTGGGCAGAATTTAGTCCTCAAATACAATATGTAGAATGTAACAAAACTTGATTATGTGATTAGAATGACCTTTATTTTAAGACTCAGAATGGCCAAAGTCCATAAATTACATATTTAAAATTTTTTAAAAAAATAAACTATTCCCTGTTGTGAGGGACATATCTCTCCCCATGTTGCAAGCCAAGACAAAGGCTAGGTGCAGGGTCCTTTACTGGACCAGTGCTAATCATTACTGTAAATTAGAAAGCATCTGCTTGAATATCACCTTAAACCATCTGTGCAATGAAATAGAGTATGAATAAAATCATAAGCAAATAGTAGCTTTAATTATTTAGACCTGAAAGTTTTTGTGTATTGAGGTAACTTATGTAAGATATAAATATGTACTCTCTTGACAATACTGTCTCATATTCTATTTTATACTTCAATCTTACCTGAATTTAGTATGGGCTTTTAAAAAATATTTTACAGTTGCTTTATACACTGGGTTTCTGAAAAGGTTTCTTTAAAAACATATATATATATATGAAACTCAACATATACAAGCATCAATTTTGAGAGAGAAAGTCTGTTACATTAAGAATGAAATGTAATGGTTACATTAAGAAGATGATGTAATGGTTACATTGCTGGACTCCCTCATAGTTACCTGTGGTTTGAGTCTTGGACCCAGTGGCTTAAAACTCATGCTGGATGCATGTGTGTGTGTGTGCATGTGCCCAAAATACCGAGAGAAGAAGGGATTGTGGTATGGCCATCCCCACTGGGGGATGATTTCTCACTTTCTGTCTCTGTCTCTCTCTGTCTCTGGCAAGTGCATGTGCCCTATAGTAAAAATCTCTCTAAAAAAAATAAAATACTTTTATTTGATTTTTTTAAAAGAAATTTTATTTTATTTATTATTATTTTTAACTTGACTAGAGAGAGACAGAGGGAAAGTGAAAACAAGCTGGCAAGTCCAGGACCTTGAAGTGAAGAAGGGGTGGTGGAGCTTACAGATCACAGGTAGATTTAGAGATTTATTAGTTTGTTATTGACTAAAAGAACATAGCTTTTTTAAAAACTTGGAGTCAGTAGCAAGGAAGAAAGGAAGGTTTAAACTCAACCTTAACATAGATAAGGAAGTTTACTAATTATGTGATGCTATGCCAGAGTCAAGGTATGAGAAATAAGACACAATTACTGAGGCAAGGTGACCTATTCAGTAAGATTGATAGCCATGTAGGTGTGGACTTCCCCAGGTTGCTTAGGGAAGAAATTTTAGAACAAAGAAAAAGTGGGCAGAATTTAGTCCTCAAATACAATATGTAGAATGTAACAAAACTTGATTATGTGATTAGAATGACCTTTATTTTAAGACTCAGAATGGCCAAAGTCCATAAATTACATATTTAAAATTTTTTAAAAAAATAAACTATTCCCTGTTGTGAGGGACATATCTCTCCCCATGTTGCAAGCCAAGACAAAGGCTAGGTGCAGGGTCCTTTACTGGACCAGTGCTAATCATTACTGTAAATTAGAAAGCATCTGCTTGAATATCACCTTAAACCATCTGTGCAATGAAATAGAGTATGAATAAAATCATAAGCAAATAGTAGCTTTAATTATTTAGACCTGAAAGTTTTTGTGTATTGAGGTAACTTATGTAAGATATAAATATGTACTCTCTTGACAATACTGTCTCATATTCTATTTTATACTTCAATCTTACCTGAATTTAGTATGGGCTTTTAAAAAATATTTTACAGTTGCTTTATACACTGGGTTTCTGAAAAGGTTTCTTTAAAAACATATATATATATATGAAACTCAACATATACAAGCATCAATTTTGAGAGAGAAAGTCTGTTACATTAAGAATGAAATGTAATGGTTACATTAAGAAGATGATGTAATGGTTACATTGCTGGACTCCCTCATAGTTACCTGTGGTTTGAGTCTTGGACCCAGTGGCTTAAAACTCATGCTGGATGCATGTGTGTGTGTGTGCATGTGCCCAAAATACCGAGAGAAGAAGGGATTGTGGTATGGCCATCCCCACTGGGGGATGATTTCTCACTTTCTGTCTCTGTCTCTCTCTGTCTCTGGCAAGTGCATGTGCCCTATAGTAAAAATCTCTCTAAAAAAAATAAAATACTTTTATTTGATTTTTTTAAAAGAAATTTTATTTTATTTATTATTATTTTTAACTTGACTAGAGAGAGACAGAGGGAAAGTGAAAACAAGCTGGCAAGTCCAGGACTTGAACCATGGTTGATCATGTGGGAATCCAATGCTTTAACCACCATTCCATTAGCCAGCCCCAAAATACTTTTATTTTTAAAACGAGAAGCAATATAAAAAAGGAGGGGTTTTATTCTTATTTTTCTTTATTCATGATAGATTGCATGTGAAACCTTGAAAATAAGAGGAGGAGAGAGATGAGTACTTTACACAGGGTCTGATCATGCCGTGATACCTTTCCTCCAGTCACCCAACCCACTGGATCCTGGGTACTTTTGCATGAACCTGCATATTTCAGGCATAATGGGCCAGGGATTCAAACTGGTCACCATGTGGAATCCAGATACTCTTGAACAGCACATTTTCCCCATGCTATGGAATTGGTTCCTATTGTTTTTACTAGAAAAAAAGCCCTTTATGCACCTTGGATGAAGTGATTTGTGGGCAGGGTTGTAATTAATTGATATGTTAAATAGCATAGGTCATTTGAGAATAGTTTGACCTTTGGCAGATCACTAGTCATTTAACATTTCTGGACCAAAGTTTCCTCCTAGTAAAATGAAGAGATTAAGATAGGTGATCCTTAAGATACATACTTGGGCTATTTCTGTAATTTTACAAAGGTTTCCTAAAGAATAATTTATCTATGTAATTTAATATCAATGTAAGCAAATTTCTCAAACCTGAAGTCGTAAATTTAGTTGTGCAGAATGATTCTCTTGACTAATAATGGTTACTGTTTATTGATCACTTCTAATGCCAGGCAACATGTACTTAAACATCTACCCCTATTCTGGAAGGAATGTATTATCCTTATTTACAGATAGGGAAACACATTCAGAGAAGTTCAGCAACTTGCCCAAATTCAGATAGCTAGGATGTCATTGGTGGAACTTGGATTCAAATGCAAGTCTCTCTGACTCCTAAAGTAATAGCTAATCCTAGGCTACCATATACATGTAAAGCTAAATTGATCTCTGGTTATTGGAAGACTATTTTAGCTAGTGGAGAACCAAACTGTACTTGTCCATGGATCCCCAAAGAAACCAGTTAAATCAAGGAGAGTTCTGGGTAGCTTCATTTTGATGGTACCATTCATTTTATAAAAGGTGCAATGCTGGTCTGGTGGCGGCATGGTGGTCAAAGTGGCTAGCTCCCATATGCTGACTTTGAGATTCGAGACCCAGATTAGATGGCTTGGAAAACATGTCAGGCGTGTATGTGTGCCCCAAAATTCCAAGAAGGGAATGGAAGAGAAGGGACTGAGGCATGGCCATCTCCCTTTGTAGGTGATTTCTGACTTTCCCTCTCACTCTATTTCTTTCCAGCAAGTGTACACACCTTTGGCAAAACAAACAACAACAAAGTGACACCATTAAGCATTGAAATGGAAAAATTGCCAAACAATACAGTTATTCAATCAGTGATATATGCATAGTTTTAGAAGTTTGAAGAATTATAGTGTTTCTAATTTTTCAAAAAGCAGTGTCACTCCAGGGGACATTATATGGGCTCTGAGGTGACCGTTGCACATGGTAACATAATGACTGCCTTTGTTAACATTCATTTAACTTCAAGTAGTAATATTCCTTTATTTCCACACATTACCTCCATGGCAATATCCAAGCAGTGTTATTTCAATTTAATAACCATGACTTCTTTTTTCAGGAGTGCTTCTTTGATGATGTGGAGAGTGTACCAACAGTGACCACGTGGAACACATACCTTCGATATATTACTGTCCACAAGAGCTTACTTTTTGTGCTTATTTGGTGCTTTGTTGTTTTACTGGTCGAGGTAAGAAAGTTCTGTTGTGAAATTTTACTGTGATGTAGAGTTAAATCATGAACAGTTTGAAAGCCGAAGCTCCCTAGCTTAGTGGTTAAAGAAATGGTTCCCACGTGGCTGATCACAGTGTGAAATCCACCTAGAGGCCTGAAAAACCACGCTGGATGGATTTGTGTGTATTCCCTAAGATCCACCAAGATGGAGAAATGAAGAAGGAATTGAGGCATGACCATGCCCCACTGAAAGTGCTTACTTCCTCTCCTCTGCCTCCTGTCTGTCTGTCTCTGGAGAGTTTATGCCCTCTAGCAATTAAAGCAAAATAAAATAAACAAGAACAACGGCTTGAAAGAATGTATACATATATATGTAAACACACATAAATGTGGATATATGTACATGTATAAGTACACATATGTATATGTGTGTAATTTTGCAGTATATAATAGTATATAGTTTCGTATAGTTCTAAGCTTCTAGAAATCAACAGTTGGAATCACTGTATTTTATTATTTCAATCATAGCATTTAACAGATGCCTAAATGCAAATGTATAAATGTTTCTTCTTTTCTTTTTCTTTGTTTTTAGAGATTTTTGCTATAGGGTGTGTGTGCTCACTAGAGACACACAGAGACAGAGAAAGTAAGAAATCACCCCCCAGGGGTGATGGCTATGCCACAATTCCTTCTCCTCTTGGGATTTTTGGGCATGCATACACATGTGCCTGGAGTAAGTTTCAAGCCACTAGGTCTGAGACTGGAACTGGCATCGGCCATGTGGGACGCCAGCGCCTTAACCACCGCACCACTTGCTGGCCCTAAAAGTTTCTTCTTAAATATACTTCATTATGTATATTAAGGCATACAGCATCATGTTTTGGGAACATATAAATAGTAACAATGCTACTGTAGTGAATAAACTAACATATTTATATCTCACATAGTTACCCTTTGTTGCTTTTTATGGCGAGTGCAGGTAAAATGTACTTCTTTGGCATGAATCTCAAACACAGTATAATTTTATTAGTTATAGTGCTCATATTGTACATTAGAGCTCTAGATATGAAGAGTTTTTTTTTTTGAGAGATTTTTGCTATAGGGCGTGTGCACTCACCAAATAGACAGAGAGAGACATAGAGACAGAAAGCGAGAAATCACCCCCCCAGGGGGGATGGTCACACCACAATCCCTTCTCCTCCATTCTCCTCTCAGGATCTTGGGCACGCATGCACACATGCCCGACATGAGTTTTAAGCCACCGGATCCGGGACACAAACTGCGGTCGACTACATGGGAGTCTAGCGACATAGCCATTACGCTAGCTGCTGGTCCCCTAGATATGAAGAGTTTTTAATAGATTTATAAATTAAGAGTAGAAGGTCTTTATATGAACTCAGGTTAAACACTGAAAATATCTGTACTATATTTTAGATTCACTTGACTCTAAACATTGCATTATGAATATGCAAGTGATGACTACTTAAGTAACTATATTCTTTCAAAAACTGAGGAGACTATACAGTAGTGGCTTCCTTTAAATAACCTTTTCAGAATGTCAAATCGCCCATTTGTTTATATAAATTTTGTTATCTTCAATTCTATCATTGTGGTTTCTTCGCCTTGCCTTTACTGTCCTTCACATAACCAAGTTAAAAAATAAAGTTGTTTTGGGGACATGGCAGGTGGCCTGATGTTTAAACACGTTGGACTTCCACATGGCCAAACATGGTTTAGGTCCCAGACCTGGTGGCTTCCTTTCTCACTTTCCTTCTCTCTCTCTCTCTCTCTCTTTCTCTCTGATGAAACTGGAAAATAATAATAAATAAAGTTAAAGTAAAATAATTTTGGGGACCAACAGTTGGCGTAATGGCTATGTTACTGAACTCCCATGTAGTCGACCACAGTTTGAATTCTGGACCTGGTGGCTTAAACTTGCACCAGGCACGCGTGTGTGCATGCCCAGGATCCTGAGAGGAGAATGGAGGAGAAGGGATTGTGGTGTGGCCATCCCCCCCACTCAGGGTGATTTCTCACTTTCTGTCTCTCTGTCTCTCTCTGTCTTTCTGGCGAGTGCACGGTGCCCTATAACAAAAACGTCTCCAAAAAAGAAAAGAAAAGAATTCTTTTTTAAAAAAAAGGTGTTTTTGTAGTGGGGTGCAGGGAGTGGGGGCGAAGGTGGAGTTGTGGAAGTTGTCGCAGATAAGGTATCAAGTTCAGTTTTCCAACACAAGGGGTTCCTGAAGCTGGGAGGTGGGGGTTGAGTAAGGCTTTTCTCTAGATCAGGAGCAGACAGGTAAGTGCCTAAGATGGCTCGCAGGGAGCTGCAGTTGGGAAGGTGACTGAGAAGGCTGAGTGGGGAGATACGCCCTCTAGTTGTGTACAGGAGGCAGCTGTAACTCAGCCCCAGTGGAGGACTTGCTGTGAAGGAATTGGGATCTGTTTTGCCAAAGCTTCTTACTTATCAAGATGAGACAAAGGTACAGAATTTTATGTAAATTTTCCCCAATTTAAAATGTAGGTAGTTGATTTAAGAGACAAACACAACCTAGATACAACAAAACATATCCATCTGTTGGGTTCAGCAAATGATCACTCAAGATATTTATTCCAGGGAACCAGCAGTTAGTGTAATGGCTATGTCGTTGGACTCCCATGTAGTCGACCGCGGTTTGCGTCCCGGACCTGGTGGCTTAGAACTCACGCCAGGCGCTTGTGCATGCATGCTCAAGATCCCGAGAGGAGAATGGAGGAGAAGGGATTGCGGTGTGACCATTCCCCCCGGGGGGGGGGGGTGATTTCTCGCTTTCTGTCTCTATGTGTCTCTCTGTCTGTCTGGCGAGTGCATGTGCCCTATAGCAAAAAAACCCTCTCCAAAAAAAAAAAAAGATATTTATTCCAGGGGATATCCTTAGTTATGTCCTAATATAAAATAAATATAACCTGAAGGCTCATGCTGCCTTCAGGGGAGAAATGACCTGGGTGAAGAACTGTTGCTCCTGAGGTAGTGTAAATGCAAAATAGCTAAAACCCAAACTTTGTAACCATAATATTTTCCTATTAGTCTTTTTCTAACTGCTATTAAGAAGGCTCCATAGGCCTAGCCACAGTAGTGCAGGCAATAAGGGCACTGCTGCCTGATGCCGGAGGCCTTGTAGGAAGGCTCCAGTTTCAGTGCACGTCCTGGGTCTGTGGAGCACCCTGGTATGCCCACAGACACACTTGAGGTTCTGGCTGCCTGGAGGACTCAGGGAAGGATCACAGTGTGTGGACCTTGTTGAGAATCCCTGTCTCTTTCTTTCTTTCTCTTTTACTGTCTTTCTCTCAAAGAAAATAAATTAGCTTTTTCTAAAAGAAGAAAAAAAAAAGGCTATATAAAGTATATTCATTCCTCCATGATCAAGTAAGATACTGTTAATATCTAGAGGTATGTAACAAAAGTCATACATACTACTTCACCAATAAACCTTTGGTTTCCATTTGAGTTTGGGTTGTATTCCTTTTTTTTTTTTTTGTTCCTCTGCTGATTTAAATTTAAAAACCAAGTGAAGGCTTAATATGAGATGCAGTATAGCACAGTGCTGACTCTGGAAGCAGACTGCCCCAGTGTGAGTTCTAACTCTGTCTTATTAACACTGTGTAACTGAGCTACTTAACAGTTTTCTCAGCTATACAATGGAGATTGCAGTAGTACCAGCTTCATAAACCACTTTTTGGATTAAGAGACATCATATTGGGCCAGCAGGTAGCATGAAGGTTAAGGCACTAGATCCCACATGTGCCACCATACCATCCTTGAGTCCCAGACCCTGCAGCTTGAAAATCATGCTGAGTGTATGTGCATGCCTGCCCAAAATCCTGAGGAGACTAGAGGAGAAGGGATTGCAACGTGGCCATACCCTCTGGGGGTGGTTTCTCACTTTCTCTGTTTCTGTCTCTGGCAAGAGCATGCACCCTATAGCAAAAACTGGGGGAGGGGGGGTAGGAGAGAAAGGGACATGCTTATAAAGCACTTAATGTAGGGCTAGACACGGAGTGAGCAATGCTAATTGTCTTATTACTACTACCTTAATCTCATACTTTTATTATAAAGCTCAAGATAGTTGGAGGTGAACAAGCTTATACAACATTATAAAGAATGTTCCAATAATTCCTTTTATACTTCAACAAAAATATAAGGTTGGGTAATTAGACAGTCTTAACCTGAGTAATAAATATTGCATTGAAATATATTTCAAATTTATCTTATTAATCTTTGCCAGTCATTCCAAATGACTGTTAATGTGAATGAAACCCAGTCTGAACCTCATTTGATCTCAGCCAGCCCTTTATAAATGTTAATGATTTGAACCTCCTCCACGTTGAAAGATAGCATTATTTGTCTTCAACTTACATAAGAGAAAGATTGTATCTGAATGAGGTGGTGATTTCTGTTAATTTAAAGGACCTTTGTCTCATGCGGCTACACGGAGTTGCATTTATGCCCTTTTAAAATGGTATATTTCTAACTTGTTGAGTGTTGAATTGCTGCATGTGTGTACAGTATCATTACCTCATTTAATCAAGAAGACAGAAGATAAGGGTCCCTTGTTATTTGACAAGAAAATAAATTACAAAAGAAGATGAACCTTTTAAACCAATACCCTATAGGGATTGCCAATTAATTGACTCAACATTTTGAATGAGAAAAACTTGTAATTATAGACAAATAGTAATTTTTAAGATTATGTGCCCATTTATACAGCTAGATGATTTATTCACTGCCATTCAAAAATTATAGTGCCTTTTAAAATAAAAACTTACAGTTTTCTTTTAAACTAAGCTTTATTTATTTACAAAAAATAGTTATCAGAGGGCTTATGCGCTCCTCAGAAATAGACAGAGAGACAGAGAGAGAGAGAATACTCCCCAGTAGGAAGTGGTCACATCACCATCCCCCTTTCCTCCATTCGTCCACTGTGTCAGGATTTTAGGCCCAGGCATATATATTCAGAATATTTTTCCAGCAGCAGTGGT